CTGAGAGAGTTGGGGTTGTTCAGCCTGGAGAAGGGAATGCTCTGGGGAGACCCTTAGAAGGGTCTTCCAGCACTTAAAGGGGACTACAGGAAAGATGGGGAGAGGCTCTTTATCATGAAATGTAGGGATAGGACCAAGGGTAATGGTTTTAAACTGACAGAGGGTAGATTTAGATGAGATATAAGGAAGAACTTTCCTGTGAGTGTGGTGAGACACTAGCACAAGTTGCCCAGAGCAGCTGTGGATGCCCCCTCCCTGGCAGTGTTCCAGGCCAGGCTGGATGGGGCTTTGAGCAACCTGGGCTAGTGGAAGGGGTCCCTGCCCATGGCAGGAGGGGTTGGAACTACATGATCCTTAAGTTCCCTTCCAACTCAAACTATTCTACGATTGTTATTTATTTATTTTTAATCAAATAAAGCTTTATCTTCTAAATTCACATTCTTTTCCCAATGAAAATATGTAATTGGGGCAACTTTACAAATAAGTGAAGAACCATGTTCAGAAAGAATATTATGAACCCCATCAGAAGTTTGTAAAGATTGCGCTCCCACATTGCCGAACACAGGAGTAGCCATGTAGTGCATGGAGCCTCAGCCATCCTTATAGAAACCATCTACTGAAAGTAAAGGATTTAGACGAAGAGGACTAGCAACAGCTAATATTTTGAAAACAGCAGCCAATTAGAAAAGGTCATGGCCAAGGTGATGCAATTAGCCTGTGCTTCTCATACCTCTCTCACATGGTTTCTAATGAATTGACTCAGTGTATGTGTGGTCACTCTAAAGAAAGTCCTCGTGGAAAGAAGTTCATTACACAGTGTACTATTTCATGCTAAACTGCAACCTCGCTCTGCTTAATGTTTATCATGGATTTCCTAAAGAAATGGACAGTAACATAGTAATGATTTATAGATTAAATATTTTGTTGTATTAAACATAATAAGCACTAAGTAGAGTATATTTGTACATCTTTGTTAGCTGTGGTATCTACTGGTACTGAATTAAGTCACTGAGGCACAGTCAGACCAGTAAGACCAATACCTGTGAACGATTTCTACTTGTGTGATGTACTAGTTTTGTCCCTAGTATGCTTTGCACTAGAGTATATCGAACTGAAGTCACCAAAGATTGGAGCTGCTGCCAAAGGTAAACCTGGTGAGATGAGGAGCTAGGAAATTAAAACAGGATATAGAAATTAGGCGCTCGGGAAATTAAGGTATAACTTAGTTTAGAGATAAAGATGGAAGACTTAAGAGATCAGGCTAGGGGCTAGAGGCCCATTAGTTAAAAGATAACTAAGATTAAATAGGATAATAGGTCACAGTTGATGAGCCAGAGAGCAGAACAATATAGAAACCTTGATTAAGAGAAGTTGTGAGGGAATGCTTCCTGATGGAATAGGAAGACAGCCCTAAAACTGGTATAAACCAACCCTATGGTCCGGCCTGAGTCCCGGAGGCTACAGAGACTGCGCAAGGAACCGGGGTAAAAAGTTCAACAGTGAGGAAGAGGAGCTACTTCTTCTCTGCGACCCCAGCCCACGACCACTGGGACACACTGCGCAGACGCAACTAGGGGGAGACCGGGGCGGAACATATGAAAAAGTCTTTCAGGCTCATTATAATACAAAGCGGGGATAGATCATGCATATGTATAGGCATGTTATGAATATGTGATACTTTGTAGCATAAAGACAAGACAAGGTGCCAGGAGAGGTGCACACGTTTGTGGCGGAATGATCCCCCGTGTGCCTCAGCACTGAATGAACATACCTACTTTATAACCTTAGAGGTTGTGGAGCCGTGTTTCCGCAGGTCTCTGGCTATGCTCTCATGGCCATGCTCTTGCCATGCACTCAGGTTAGCAGTGACTTCTAATGAACCTATGAATTATACTGTTATTTAAAACCAAAAAAAACCCAACAAACCCAAACAAAACAAAAAACCAAACAAAACCCACAGACCAAAACCAAACTGTTTCTGTTGATCACTTCAGGAGCTATACCAAGTATTTAGCAAGCACTGACAAATTACTGAAGTGTTCTATATACGTTAAAGCTGTAAGTGATAATATTTACATTCACAAAAAGAGCTAACAGATTAAAAGGATATGTTTAGTTGTACTTGCAGTTGTGAACATATATTGCCTTTAACTACCAAAAGTAAGTAGACTCGTAATCAAAACGTCATTCTGAAGTTAACTATTAGAATTTTTCCCCTTCTCCCAAGGAGAAATTACTGAGAACAACTGAAATAAATGGTGTGATGATTTCTCAGGTCTTACAAGAAAAAACATCAGCAATAAATAATTTGTGTATGTAAAAAAGTTAACATCACTTTCTGATGCTCACCACTTTGAGGGTTAGCTGCTATAGCTCACAGAAAATAAGACCATTTTCATCCTTTTGCTCCAGAGAGCACATTCAAACCTGAAAAATTGTGGAAACTTCTAATTATGTAAATAGAAACACATCCTATGCCCCATTTTCTACTGCCTAAATTAATTCTGTAAACAAATGGGGGGGG